TGATAAAAAACTGAATGTTTAATTTAGTTCTATTGGTATACAAGCTATTGAGACTAATTAATACTAAAAACTACAGATTTTTCTAAGATGTTATTCCCTGTAACATCAAAAAAAGATCCTTTATTTTTAGAAAAGCTCTTAAAATTTTTAATGCGAAAAATAAAACTAGATATTCTTAGAGACCTTTTAAATAATTGAATTTCTAACCATCTAGTAATATTCATTCGTCTCCTATGGTATATGATTTGTTTTCTCACTTATATTCAAATTTCACTCAAGTTACAAATGTAAACTTGAAAGCACCATTGCACCAAACAACCAATGTTAATTTTGATAACTAGATTTAAAAGTTGCAATTTAGATTCATCAATTAGTAAGAAATGTTAATAAATTCTCATTTATGATTAACCAGTGTTCTAAAAGACGCTAGACGCTAATCGGGTGCCAGCTCGGCGCCTAGCGGCTAGGTGGATGCCTAGTCAAGGTCTAGTCGGAGACATAGAAATTACATTTGTATCTACGTTTTGCATAAATATGATAAGTAATACATATAAATACACAAACATTAACAAACATGAATGATAGAATTATCACATTTAATCATACGTAGTATATGATAACTAATCACATAACTTTAATATGTTATAAATATAAATAATAATAAAAATTTAGGTATATATACAAACATATATAATTTTTATCTTAATTTACAATTTCATTCTTTTATATCTGTGGCTAAAGTTAAAGTACTTATATCGCTTAGAAAATTAAAATTTAAAGTAAAGTAATGTTCGGCGAATATAGACTAGGGGTGGGTAAAAATACCGAAAAATCGGTATACCGCAGTTACCGTACCGAAAAATACCGGAAAATACCGGAATATTGGTATACCGTCATTTTCGGTACGGTATGATACCGTACCGATTCATTTCGGTAAGGTAACGGTAAATGTTTTCGAATACCGCGGTATACCGGTATTATACATTACCGACTCCCTACCCAACAATTACTTTAAATTCTAAAATATTGTAAAACTTCATTACAATTTTGAGGCCCAAAATTAATACTTAGGTTGGTTACAAATACTATAATAAAGACCCAATTTCCCAAACCCACTATAACCTTCTAGGTTTCTACTACGCAACATTTAAACAAACTAACCCTAATGACTAATGAGTAATAATGTACTAATGTCTAGAAACCAGTCCATCTTCACGATGGCTGAACCGCTGAGTAGCTGACGAGTGAAGAGGGATACACTTATGTGACGAGTGTATCTACATAAGGATTTTGCGAGTCGAGTCACACAACTTTGTCCAAAAGTCTTATTCAAATATATTTTTAAAAACTATAAAAATGACTAAATACACAATATCATATTAGGGATAAATGATTTTATATCCACGTTGTTTGAATAATTTTATTTATTTATTTTAGAGCTCACTATTCATATAATTATATCTACATTGTTCAAGTTATTTTAGGAGAATGTGTTGTTTTTTAATACGTGGCATGTTGAACTGCTTAAATATACTAATAATAATTATTGTTCAATATTGAATATGACATCAATAGATTACTAATTGTATTTTGCAATATTCTAATAATGGATTAAATATGTCGCTAGTAACACCGTTTTAGTATATTTTGTTAGTCTATGATAATTTGTTGTTTTAGGAGACATGCATGGTAATTTACCGATACCGTACCGTTACCGAACCGAAACTTCGGTATACCGAAATGCGGTATACCGAAACTTCGGTAAGGTAACGGTATATAAATTTTGTATACCGAAAATTTTGGTACGGCAAAGGTATGAGAGAAAACATTCGGTATACCGTACCGAACCACCCCTAATATAGACAGCCTAGGCGGTCGATTAGGCACTCTGGACGGGCAATTAGGCGCCTTAGGCGATCAATTAATTCACTTAGGCGGCAAAGCAATTAGTCGGAGCACCTAGATGAAAATTGGGGCGCCCGGCCACCCCTAGTGCCTAGGCGGGGACTAGTCAGATGCCTAGAACTATTTTTAGAAGGGAAAAATAATTAAAATACCCCAAACTTTGAAGGGGTGTGAGATAAACACCCCAAACTTTCATATGTAATTTAAATACCCTAAACTTTAAATAAAAAGTTATTTTAGCACCATGGACATATATTATTTTTTTCAAAAATATAAATTTATGTTGTTAATTGCATAATTTAAAATAACAAGTTTAAAACGTTGCAACTATATAGAGTGAGGGTAATATTATTTATATTATAATGGAAGTTTAGAATGTTAATTGTATCTTCACGAATACTAAACTATTTTAAATTTTGAAATTAACCCCAAAAATTAACATTTTTGAAAGAAATAATCTATGACCATGGCGCCAAAATAACTTTTTATATAAAGTATGGGGTATTTAAATTACATATGCAAGTTTGGGGTGCTTAACTCACACTCATTCGAAGTTTGGGGTATATTAATTATTTTTTCCTTTTTAGAATAGAGTGATTAACTATGTATCATGAAAGGTGTGAGAATTATGGATATGAAGCTTTTCAGTATGAGGTGCTAGAAATAATTAATTTTGTAGGTTCATTGACTACTTCACTTTATAGTATTATGCTAGAAATGCTTTTTAAGTACTCTTACGTAATACATTTGTTTTTTACTCTTAGTCTTACTTGTTAAATATGTAACTTATATATACGATGATAAAGTAGTTTGTGTCATTATTATGTGTTTTTAAATAGTTCTATTACATTCAAATTTTGAAAAATGACTTATTAAAAAATCGAGGTAACACCTATAACAGTGTTGTGCCCATAGATTGTAAGAATAGGGGACCGTCTCGATTGTTTTGAATTGAATTTTGATGGAGCGCCTCACAAGTAGATGACGAACTACTTAACTCGTATTTGCACCATAATTATATTTCCGATGGACATTCTTTGTGAATAAGGGAAGATAGTGTGGAAAAACCAAGTAGGTAAGTTACGCAATGCAAGTAAACAAACATTCACGCAAATAAACATAAACGTGAGCACTTAGATTAGGGAAAATGATCCTCCTAACTTCAGCAACAAACACGCCCTAAACTCCATACCTTTTTGCATCTAGACGAACGCCAACGAGAGTTTTTATGTATAAACGTGAATGTATCATCATTACATTTCCTCGTTTCCTCTCTAACTTTCTTTCCTAGACAGTTTGAAGGTGAGATTATTGTTGTCAACTTTTGCTAACAAAATTAAACAAATCATTTAACCCTTGACATGAATATTAAAAATTTAAAATTAAAATGCAAAACTTTTTTTGGTTCAATTTGGATTTGCTATGTTTTAATAATATATGAAATTTTTGTTGAATTTTTTTAGTTTGATTCACTTTTATTTGTTTTCTATAGTTCTGGTTCGGTTTAACACGATTTGAAAGAAACAACTAAACTCAAATCAAATTGCATATGATTCAATTTTGGTTGAGTTTACTTCGTTTTAGTACGATTCGGTTCGGTTCAACCAAACTGACATACCCATGCACCCGCACTTTTTAATATCAAAATTGGCAGTATTTTCTCAGCATAAAATTATTTTTCAGACAGAACATAGTGCTCATATTTAGGAATTCCAAAATGTTTGTATGCATATTTAGGTCAATTTGTGTACTTTTTATTTTTTATAGTATGAAAGACATTGTGGTAGATTGACATTAATAAAAGAGTCTATTTCCACATTTTCCTTAATTCTTCTGTATTTTAGTCAAGATGTATACGAAATATCATACTACCTCCGTCCATAAATGTTTGTCTTACTTTTCCAAAACGGATGTCCCAAAATGTTTGTCATACTTTTTTAACTTCCTTATCAAACAATATCGTTACAGTGTCAAACAGTATCACTACAGTGCAAAACAGTGTCGCTACAGTGTCAAACAGTATCGCTACAGTGCAAAACAATGTCGCTACAGTGTCAAACAGTATCGCTTAATTATCGTCCTTGAATTATCTTCAAACTTTCCATTTTCGTCCGTCCCAAAATTATCCCCCCCTTCCCTTTTTGGCAAAGAATTTGTGGTTCACAATCATTCTTACACATTTCTCTCTCCTCTGCACAACTCTCCACCACACAAAACTCACTATTTTAATAAGTGTGCCCAGCCGAAATGAGAGATAAAACAGCGACGGAGGGAGTACCAAACAAGCTCTACCTTTGAATTACTCAAAGAATTACCACACTATTCTCCATCTCCACTTGTAAGTTCTAATTTAGCATGCTTAGGCATTCTTTCTTGTCCAAACCCCACAACCATTATTAATAATCAATTCAATAATTACGAATAAACGCTGTAATTCCCTAACGGGACGGGGGAAGAGGTGCGATAGAAAATTACTCACAACTCCGTATGAGATTAGGATATTTGTACAGGAAAGGGGTGAAAAGGGGGACAAGTTAGGGGTAAGGAGGTCATTTAATGGAAATGTGTAGCCGAACATAACACTGAAATCCAAAACGCCTAAAAGCGAAGGTGACCTACGTGGGCCGGCTTTTAACTATATTTAGCTGGACAGACAAAAACCAACACATTATCACCATCGTCGCTATCCCCCCCCCCCCCCCCCCCCCCTCCTAACTTCGTTTCTCTCTCACCTCATCATTTTTCCTTTTTTCATCTTTCCCCCATAAAAGTTTTTTACCGCAGTAATATTCTTCGATAACTCCGATACAGTTACTGTATTTCGTTCTATTTTGGTTTAATTTCATGCGGTAACTTTTTTAAAGAAACGGAAAGATTTCACAGATTATCTTTTTTTTTAGTTATATGTGTATTTGTTTATTTTTTTGTGAAAAGATGTATATGATGGCCGCCCTTTATTTCTTTTTTTATTATTACCAGATAGACAGACAGATCCCACCGAAATAAATTAATAAATTCACCACACCCCAATCTTCATAAAAACCCCCCAGATTTCACCATCGTTTTATTTTAATTTTTATTTATTTTCAGTTTAGGGGAAGGGAAGGGAAAAGGGAAGGGAAGGCTCCTCTTTCTTCAATTCAATTCATCCTCTTCGTGTTAAGGTTCTTTGCCGTAACCGGAGATGCTTGGCGTTTCCGGCCTGATAAGTGGCCAGGGGGATGTGGCCGCAGCAGCGGAAGCTCCGGAGAGTGGCGCTGGGGCTGGTAGTGCTGGAGATTCCGGTGGCGGAACTGTGTCCCTCCCGCCGAGTGCCTTCAGCGAGGCGGCGAGGATGGAGGAGGGAGACCGGAATTCCGGCGGCGGAAATAGGTGGCCGCGGCAAGAGACATTAGCTCTACTGAAAATCAGGTCTGATATGGATGTGGTTTTCAGAGACTCGAGCTTGAAAGGTCCTCTATGGGAAGAAGTTTCCAGGTAATTCCTGTTTTTCATCCTCGCTGGTTAAATGAATCTTCATCTTCACCTTCATCTTCTTCCTAGAGTAGAGATCTGGGTTGGATCAAATTCAATGGAGATAAATGAAAATAAATGGGGCAAAAAAAAATTACGATCTGGTTTTCTCTTTCATCTTTGTTTCACACGAATTCAGCTGCTTTTCGGGCAAAATAAACAATTCCGGATTTTGAGCTGTTTCAGTTTTGCCGTTTTGGCATTTCTCTTCAGCTAAATTTAGCAAGAAATTTAGGAAAACTGTCAGTCTGTCATATAACTCATCATCAACAACATTCATCATGGCTAGCGCTGAGATGCATCCTAGTTTTCCTCACCTCTCCTTCATTACCATATAATTCACCTAGATTTCTGCAAATTGAAAAAAACTTTTCCAGCATTTTTTTATAATATTAATAATCAAAATGTATATACTTCGTATTTGAATATACTCTTCTTCTTCTTCTTAAATTTTTAAATATCTTTCCCTGAAATGGGCTTCATTATTCTAGCGCGTGATTAATGGTAATCAACTGTTAAGGTTATTACCGTACTGTATATTTTAACATTTAATTTATTACTACCTATACTAATTAATATAGGTAGATAAATTAATAATGGGGTGGTACTACTATTTTGTGATTTGTTGTATTACTATTGCGATGAATTTAATAAAGACAGTTTAATGATTATTTAGAAAAAAAAGGGGAAGTAGGTATATTTAATTAATTATACTCCGAATGCTGTTTGGATGGATAATTGGGAAGATGATTGACTGTTCATGATAACACAGGAAAATGGCAGAGCTTGGATACCATCGAAATGCTAAGAAGTGCAAAGAGAAATTTGAGAACGTCTACAAGTACCACAAGCGCACCAGGGAAAGCCGTGCAACCAAGTCCGACGGAAAAACTTACCGGTTTTTCGACCAGCTTGAGGCTTTCGAACACAGTCCTCTCGCTCTTCCTCCGCCACCATCTCGGCCGCAGCCGCCGCTAGTGGCCGCTCCGCAACCGTCAACTGTTGTGGCACCACCGCATCATTTGCCTGGGAATCCGGCTAATCCTCCGGTGGTTCCCTTGCCCGTCCAAGTTACTGTTCCATCGACTGTTAGTCCGGCGACGATTCAAGAAGTTCAGAATCCGATCAGTGCTATGGCATTTCCGCCGCAGTCGCAGACCAGATCAGTGCAGGTGCCGGTGCCTCCTCCACCGGCGGCCCCAAACAATTCCAGCATGTTTCCCCCTCAAAGGAATGTTCAATATCCTGGGAGTCCGTTTTCAGATTCGACCTGGTCCTCTGCCACATCATCGGACGAGGATATCCACAGGCGGCACAAGAGGAAGAGGAAGTGGAAGGACTTCTTCGAGAAGCTAATGAAGGATGTGATTGAGAAACAGGAGGATCTTCAGAGGAAGTTTCTGGAAGCTCTAGAAAAACGCGAGCGGGACAGGATGGTGAGAGAGGAAGCTTGGAGAGTTCAGGAGATGGCGAGAATGAACAGGGAGCACGATCTGCTGGTCAAGGAAAGATCTATGGCTGCTGCCAAAGACGCCGCCGTGCTTCAGTTCTTACAGAAGGTCTCCGATCAGCACAATCTGGAAATTCCTATCGCAAACGCAATTCCACCCTCTCAAGTCCAAGCACCAATAGCTCCCGAGAGTATATCGACGCCCACACAGCCGTCACCTCCGCCGCTGTCCCAATCTCAACAAACGCCGGCTCATGGACCGGAACCTATATCGTTTGCGCCACCAGCTACTCTTCCATACTCTGTATCATCTCCTATGACCCCTTCTGTGGCGCCGACGACGACCTTGGACGTTCTTCCCAAACAGGACAACAACAACAATAACAACAGCGCAATAATCACCACCATAGAGAGTTATACTCCGGCGAGCTCATCGAGGTGGCCGAAAACTGAGGTACAAGCATTGATCACTTTGAGGACGAACCTGGATACGAAGTACCAAGAGAGTGGGCCGAAAGGGCCGCTGTGGGAGGAGATATCCGCCGGAATGAGGAAGCTTGGGTACAACAGGAATGCGAAAAGGTGCAAGGAGAAATGGGAGAACATCAACAAATACTTCAAGAAGGTGAAGGAAAGCAACAAGAGAAGGCCTGAAGATTCAAAGACTTGCCCGTATTTTCACCTGCTAGATGCCATTTACAAGGAAAAAGCAATATCAACTCCCGGCAGCGGCGGCTCATCATTCAAACCGGAAAACACCCAGATGATTCCCATAATGGCACAACCGGAGCAGCAATGGCCACTTCCAAGGCCGGAGCAGCAGCAGCACAACGAGCACGAGAGCGATAACATGGATGAAGACGGAGAAGATGACGAAGATTACGATGATGAAGACGGCGGAGGTTACGAGATAGTGACGAACAAACAGCAGGCAACGGCTCCGGCGACCACCGCCGCAAGCTGATTAACATATATCCAGGTAAGAAAACTTTGCAGGACATACATTTTCTGAGCGCAGGCGATGAAAGAATGTGAAATGGAAACTAAAAAGAAGAAGCAGAGATGGGCAATTATCAATCAGTAACGCATTGGGAATAGTGAGTGGGTCAACTAATTTTCTCAGTGTCAGAAGAAGATGTACAATGTGGGTCAGGTTCCGAATTCCGGTAGGTTGGGTTTCAGACGGCGGTGGCGCAGTGAAAGTATATATACATACATATCCATATAGGCGGCCTGAACATGACCAGAGTCACTGTTCCGGGCGTTTTTAGGCGAGCTGTAAAACCATAAAAACGCCAGGAAAGAGGTCAGCAAGTGTTTAAAGGTCATCATAGTTGGTTAGTTTCGTTATAAGTTTTTTTAAAACATTTATTTATTGTTTCCTAATAAGTTTTTATTGAGAGGACATATTTGAGTGGGAAAGAGCTGAGACTCCGAAAAATAAATAATACTCCGTAAGATAATTTAATTTGTAACTTCTTTTTCTTTCATTGTAAAACCAAAACTTCTTGTATGTTCTTCTTGTTGGGTGTAAATGTGAGATTTGGAAATTGAATACTTTAGTTGCACTCTCATTTCTTTACTTTTACTCGTTGCAGAATTGTCTTTCCAAATTGGTTGGTGTATATATTCGGTTTCTCCAAATGGCTTTGGTTACCTCTACCTCTTTTTATCCATTAGTGATTAGGTGTCTATTATGTATTCAAGAACATTGATATAACATTGATATTTGTATCCAATTTTATATTCACTCCTATATGTTGTTCACGGATTAAGTATGTCTTATTTTGAAAATACGACATATTTTGGGATCGGGCGTCTCTGCCTTAGTTAAGCAGCCAAGAAGGGTGCTTGATCTGACTGTTTTTCTTCGTCAGATCGGAAATTTGACGGCTGAAGATCATGGGCTCCACCCCTTTGCAGATCTCGGGATCGTGGTCGTAGCTTCCCTGCCGTCGGATGTCGCAAGGCACTCTGCCTTATGGCAGAGGATCCCGATTCCATATTTTATCTTTGAACGAGATTCACAAACAAAAAGTCTTGATGAATATAAGAGTGAGTATAAAAGTGAGTATAAATAAAAGTATTTATTCAATTACTTCTTTATTTTTATATTCTCGACTTATTTAAACATCTAGAATAGAGGTGGTTGGTTAGTACACATTTCTTACTTATTAAGATGGTTTTTATTTATTTTAAATATGATGATACATAGTAATAGTATATATACACTATTAGGTTTTTATTCAGTTCATCAACAAAATATACACTCCATTATTTTTCTCCTTTAATTTTATCAAGAAAAACCATTTTTTTGTACCTCTTTGATAGGAGTTTTTATTGTTTTAATAATTCCAAAAGATTAAACAATTTCCATCATTTCAGGCACTATCAATTTCTTTCGATTGATAAGGCATAAACGTACGCCCAACACCAATTCCGGTGTTCTCATTTCATCCACTCAAATTGATATGTATGTATGTAATGCGGAACTTCTACATTTATATAAAGGGGAACTTTAAGGGTCTTATATACGATAGTATTACGTAGTATTAAGAGTATACAATATTTCACACAACTAATCATGTCATTATTTGGTATTTAAGTATTTAAATTTGGTAGCGTGCATTGTCAAAGTAACATTCACTAATAAACAATTGGATTATAAAAATATACGGAGTAAGAAAATGATGAAATAGTGATACAAAAGAATGAAATGCAAAAAAAAAAATACTAATAAGTTTTTTTTAAAGAATGAAATGCATTTGAGATACATCGTATATACTATACTTTCACTTATACGGAGTAGCATTCACTATTACTATGTCTAATGTCGTACGTAGTATTAGCTATATTACTATGTACATGCATATTCTCAAATCTTAGCATTCCTTTTTCTTAATAAAATAAAGATTATAATCCGTAAATTCTCTTAGCATTCCAAAAATTTTCAACACGAGCACCCAACTAGCGTATTATTGCTAGATAAAACTGCATGAAACCAATTTTAGCATAATTTTAATTATGATGTTTGGAAAAGTAATGTACAATCTAGAATTCTAGATGAATAATAATAACTTCAATGATATGACAAAAATCTTGCCGGGTACATATATAATATAGCTATTTAACATGTATTTTTCATCCATTTTACCTCTATCGTATCTATGCAATTACCACGTTACAATAATAATAAGGGAGATTTCCCAAAATAGGAGTAAATGAAGTTTGAAATTCCAAAATAGGACTAACATGACAGTATTTAATGTCACCTGGTAGGCGTGACTGTCAAATAGTTGCAGTACAATACATTTAACATAACAGTATTTATTATAATTAATGACATTATTTTTCAATCATGCCCACTGACGGAACTAGGTGGGGGCGAGCAGGTGCTGGCGCCCCCCCTTCTCCGGCGGTGGTTCTGTATATATATATATATATATATATATATATATATATATATATATATATATATATATATATATATATATATATATATATATATATATATATATATATGTATATATCTCAGCCCCGGTTCAGAAAGTATTCATATATAAAATGGATTCGCTATTTGAATGTATGAGTTGTGATAGTTCAAATGGTAGGGTGGAGGTTGGGAGAGTTTTGTCTACCTAAATGGCCCGGGTTCAATTCTCATGAGCAACAATTTTTTTTTTGCTTTCTCCATTATTGCTTCTTTAAACTTTAGCCCATTTGGTAATTATTTATGTTCAATTAAATCACTCTAAGATGCAATGTTGTTTAAATCACACTTTTTGAATTTCTATATCTTTTATTTTAAATTCTCATTTCTTCAATTCAAATTAATTTTAATCATTTCTTCTTCTAATAATGACATATACGGACGTTGTCATTTAATGTCAAGAATAATTCTAAAACTACTTTAAGTTAATATAAGTATTTATCTTTTGTTTAGTATAATAGCATTTTTATTTGAAACACACTACATATACATATATATAAGTTTCGGATCAAATAAAAAGAGTTCTTATCATTAAAATTGATCGAGAATAAATCTTGTGTATTTAACTTGAGATCCGATGAGTCAAAATCAGTAAACAATGCACTATATTTTATCAAAAACTCGGTGACAATTTGATAAATAAATCAAAATTTTCTCTCATTATGAAAAAATGTAAAATAAATATTTACTAGTGTACCAAAACGAGTAAAAAATGCGCCAGTTCTCATTTTTCACGGGAATAACTCTTTTTATTAGAACCTCACTCTATATGTATTAATAATTACTTTTCACTCGTTTTTATTTTATCCTAATAAAAAATTGTTTATCAAAAAAAAATATAAGAGCACCCCCTCAAATTATTGTCTGGTTCCGCCACTGATCATGCCAGTATTTTTCATACATGGAGTACAAACTCATATTTCGGGAAGAAAAACATGATAGTTCTATTTTGAAATTTCAAGCCTCATTTACTCCTATTTAGGACAATTTCTCTAATAATAATAACAATTTTTATAATTGCATGCACATGTATGCGCACACACACATATACATTTTGTATTAGTCCCATAATCATAAGTTATTTTATGCCTCCCAATATTCACAAAAATCGAACGACGAAGAGTCGATCATATCAGTTATGCATGATTAGAATTTAGAAAGACGTACTTGCTTGCTTACTTATATTAATAATTAAGATTTAGCACAATACAGATCGATCATGGCGTATTTTGTTAATTTTTTGCATTATTATGTTGTAGTCTCCATATGACACGTCACGTTTTACGGTGATGTAATATTTACACTAAAAAAAAACGTAGCAAAATTAATTATATGTATTTTGTATTGAAACATGATAATTGCTCTTCTAAGTCCTAAGAGTTGTTTCAATTCAAGAGCATAATCAATATATATGTTTTTAAGAACTCGGTCAACAAGAATGACAACCCAATTTTGAACTCTTCTTAATAAGAGAATGATCGAATGCTTCGATTCCAACCGCAACAAAACCTGTTAGTAGAAGAGGATTATTCAATAAACTTGGAGAAGTTTATAATTGTTATCATTAACCTACCATTAGTAGAAATATTATTTCTATTTCTTGTTTATATAGGTATATATGATATGTCCTCCTCATTTACTAGATGGGCTTTGCCGTAGCTAATTTCATTAAAATAAAAAGAACAACTTATTTTCTTTATTACAAAATTAGGTAAACACTAAACCTATATAGCATTATGGGAGTTGCTTAACTCCTCATATGGTTAATGCATCGATTTTCACTCAAGATGGGCTATAATCTTCTCTTCGAACATAAGTGTAGTTGACTTCCTCAAAAGTTCTTCAAACCCCCTCGTGCTGCATAAACTAGAGATAGCAACGGATTCCAATTACCATAAACTTGATCAAGTTTAACTTATCGTGAAAAAAGAAAAAATTAAAGTTTTGTGATTGAATATTATAGAGAGCATATAGAGAAATAACACAAATCATAAATTTCTTACAAAATATTTTAAATGAAATTGACAAATTTTGAGGCGACTGAAGGTAATAAAAACGCTGGAGGAGTAACCCGCACAGGTAGCTCAGTTGGTCGAGTTGTGGGAAAATTGGACCAATTTCCAAGGTTCGAAACCCGCAACGGCCGTGTGGAGGTTACAGAACCTGAAATAAGATTGGACCTCTGGTGCGCAAGCGTATAAGGTCTACCGCCGCTTTGATGACTGAGTCACCATGATTAACCTTCCATCATCCTGTCGGGTCGAGGTGGGGCTCCTGGGGTAGGAGATTCCAGCTTTTGGACCAAGGCTGGAGGAGTAATAAAAAACATCCCATCATAATGTTAAAAAATGGTCCCAATACCCGCACGGGTAGCTCAGTTGATCGAGTGGTGGGAAAATTGGACCAAGTGACCAAGGTTCGAAACACGCAACGGCCGTGTTGAGGTTACAGAACCTGAAATAAGGTTGAACCTATGGTGCGCACGTGTATAAGGCCTACCGCCGCATTGATGACTGTGTCACCGTGATTAACCTCTCCACCATCCTGTCGGGTCGGGGTGGGGGCTTCTGGGACGGGAGATTCCAGCTTTTGGACGGGAGGAGTAATAAAAAACATCCCAACATAATGTTAAAAAACGGTCCCAATGGGACACATGAGGTGTTAGCCAACTTTTGCACTGTACAGTTTCCATCCAATTGTTTGGACGGTTCTTAGTTTCTTACATGCAAAAAATACTCAACATTAAGAGAGTAGTTTATACTCGATCATGTGTAAAAATGGACTCTTTAACTCGGTTCAGGTAAAAAATGGAGTCCTCTTCCGGTCATGTGAATGATGATATCTTTTACGGAGTATCTTTTATCATACATATACTCCCTATTACTTTTAAGAAGTTGGTATAAATAAAAGTAAAAGAAATACTCCGTATGAGTTAACTCATTTTCAAATTACAAAATAGCGGCACTAAATTTTATATGTAAAAATAGGAGTTATTACTGTTATATTTGAAAAATATTATCTATTATAGTAGTATACTGCCATATTTTATGCTTGGGAACGCCAAATATGGTTGTAAAATTTG